CCTCCAGTCCTGACAAACAGGTAAGAAAATGTGTGGTTGTTAAGAGTTTGCATGCACAGGCGTCTGGGCAGCTCTTCTTGCTAGTTTCTTACCACTCTTTCACTTTCACATTGGCACTGATGCAACAGTACTTGGGGCCACCATGTGTCAGGTTCATTTTCGAGTGACTGGTTGTGCACAAAGTGCGAGAAATATGGTGCCAAAGATGACACAAGCAGGTGATGGGAAAGGTTGTAGATTGGTAATAGACATTACTCAACATGATAGCTGACTGACCAAAGTGTTAATTTCTACAACAGACTAAACACGCTAATTATAAATAGCAGCAAACCAACCCTCGGTAATGACTCAATATTAAATTGAGGAACTACACACTCACACGACACACTGAAGCTGAGAGACAGAATCGAGATTTTACAGTAGAAAACCTCTCTCTCACTTTCGCTTACTTATTCTGAGGAAAACCCACACTCCCAGTCAGAAGCTGGATCTTTCAGCCTTGTATTCCTTACTTACAGTGTATAATTTCAACTGTCTGTGTATTACTTTTAACTGTTTAATTCAACTGTTCCTTCACCACTTCTAGCAAATAATTAGAAGTATTTAACCATTACTTTTAGGTTTGTGCGTCAACTGTTTATCATTGCCTTTAAATAGTGTTTTAGATAATGATTTCAACCATTTATCCATTAGATTTGTTTATGTATTTCAATTAGTTTTAGCTAATATTTTAACTGTTTATCATAATTTTTGGCTACTGTAGCTATTTCAGCTGTTTGTCCATTACTTTTAGCTGACTATTACAGCCCAAATCTCACATGGGCAATAAACTCCACAGCCCTGATTGCAAAATCCCAACGGTGGCTCTACTTTCTAAGAACACTTAATAAAACCAACCTGTCTGGAAAGCTGCTAGAGTCTTTCTGCCACTGCTCCCTAGAGAGCACCTTTACATACTGCATGGCATCATGGTATGCCAGCTGTTCAAAAGCAGACAGGAATGCTCTTCACTGAGTCATAAACGCCTCACAGAAGAAGACTGGACTCCCCCTACCTTTGCTGGAAGACATCTTCGGGTCTCGCTGCTGCAGGGAACATAACATTCTAAGCAAGACGACTCGCCACTTTTTTCTCCTTCCACCCAGAAGGCACTACAGGGCTTTAAAGTCCCCAGGTTCAAAAGCAGCTTCTACCTGAGAGCTATCACTGAACTGAATTCTGCTTTCTCCTCCCATACACACACACACACACACACGTACGTTAACATAGATTACCATTATGTGCATGACCTGAGAAATGTGGAACTGTGCAATAATGTGGCACTGTGAAAATAACGTGCAAGCATAATGAAGAGTATTTACTTTTGATCTTTTTATCTATTTATAGCACCTTTTTGTTTGTTTTTGACCTGTGATTTTTGCCTGTTGCGTATGATATGACCTACTGTATTTCAGGAACTACACAGCGAATTTCATTACTGTGTGCAGTGGCAATAATGATCTTATCTTATTACATCAAATGCTTAGCTCACTATTTAAACCATATATCCATTAATTTTAGCTATCTCTGAGACCTCTCACTTTGACAGCTAGCAGGTTTTTAAAGCACTAACCCTTCATAGATTGTAGCTTAATGATTATAGTGACAATAAATAGAGATAAGCATCACACCGATTTGTAATCATATTTGGAAGGCTGTATTTTTTCCATCAAATTTTTATATAGATTTTTTTCAAATTTGTTGCTCCACAGTCTTCTCACATACTCCCAGGTAACTCCATAAGTACCCCACTGGTTCTAGGGAAGCATTTAGCACATGTACTGCCCACAGTTTAACTGAGGTCCGATGTGGTGAGCAGTTGGCTGTAGCCATAATACATCTTATTATTCACTGTGTGTTCGTTCAGGGTGTGACAGTGATGTCTTCCGACTGCTAAGCACTGCTACATCCCTAAACACTGAAGTCAATGCTTTTCAGCATATGAATTAAAGAAGGACCCGGCCAATAAGTGGTTCTGGGTGGAATTACAGCGTATGCACGTCTGCCAGCCTGAATGTCTGAGTGTGTGGGCATGTATGTGCATGAAGAGGCAGTGAGGCAGATGTAAACTGAAGAAATAATGAAGAACAGGGTCGTCATCACAGTCCTTCCTCTAAATGATGACAGAGGAAGAATGTGAGCAGAACGAGTGAGGGCAGACTTCCTGTGACATCATCACAACATATACTGTTTGTGACCTGTTAAATTCTTACACTCACATGTTACTGTAACACAGCCCACCCATCAATTCTCATGCACTTTGATCGACTGATCACACAGTGGACATTTGTTGAAGGGTGGCATGGAGACAAATTTACTGTCACATAACATAATGTCTGACATTCTGTTTGGAAAAGCAAATGACAAAGCTATATTCTACCATATGTATTATTATACAATACATCTGGTGGCTCTCTGCTCTAACACGTCTTTCTCATGTTAAAATGTGACATTCCTCTCATCCAGCTCCTGCCACATGTTTCAATTTCTTCATCAGCTTATCCCTGTATTGTCTGTCTATCATTTGGTGCTGAGCAGGCGGCATGTGGAAGGCTGGTTTGGAGCTTTTGTCCTCCTATAAAAGCAACTGCAGAATCTGGTGATAGTTCGCTGTTTGTTCATCAGCCCAAAATACAGTATGTGCATGCCAACTGTACCTGTACAAAACTCCATAACCTTTGGTGCAGATCATTCTATTTAAAATACCCTTTGAAAAGTTAAAAAACACAGGAGTGACAGATCATTACACAAGATTTTCCCCTTTCTTCAATCAGTCAAAGGCAGCATCATAACTCTGGTACTGACCAGGTCGGCCACTGGCGACTTCTTGCGATTCTGTTTCTCCACCTCCACTTGCATCTTGGCCATGGGCTTGGCCATAGCCAGGGCTAGCTTCGCCTCAGCTTGTAGCTTCTTTTGTCGACTCAAGAAGTCCATATCTTCCAGAGACTCTGAGTCCTCCTCTGTGGTGTCCCTGTCCGAGTAGGACGAACTCTGCTTGGACTGGAGGGGGGAGGTTGGGGAAGGAAGAGGGAGAAAAGTATGGCAGGAAGGAGAAAGTGAACAGAATAGTAAATGAGCAGAAAATGTATTGTAAAGTTAAAAGAAAGGAGGTGACAACAAAATAAGGGAAGAGGAAAAGATAAGCGAGATCAGGTTAGAGGATTAATGTTTATGTATTATTGGCATTAAGGTATGTAGATTTTTGACAAGAATGTCACTGTACATCAACCAGGGCACGAGATCGAGGATGAACATGTAAAGAGATGATAATTCTCTCTTTCTGTTAAATATGTCTCTGACTGACAGCAGGTTAATGTGGCCAATCATCCATGGCCATGGCAAACGTATTCCAATTCACCTCTCATTTACTGCCTGTGAATTGGCTAACAGGCCACAAAATGTGAGCAAAGACATTCATAAAGCAACTAAAGTGCAAGTTATCTCTCCCATTCATAATGAATATCCTCCCCATTTCACTGCTTTCACTCTTGTTCTGTCTCAGTTTCACTGAGACACGTCAGATCTTTACACTTTCACGCTCACACTGTTTTTCATGATAAACATTTTGGAGTGATTTCACGACTGAAGTCATTTTCTTCTTCTGGATTCTGGAGAAACGGTATAAAAACTGTGCACGCGTGCATCAGTGTGTACCATGGGGGACAGGGGTGTGTCCAGACTGGTCTCTGTCTTGCTGTCATCTGCATCGCTGTCCTTGTCACTGCCACTGTCGTTGACAAAACAGATTTGGAGGTTCATCCCGCTCTGAAGCCTGCCGAGAGAGACAGATATAGGCAGACATATGTTGACAAACAGGGAGACACGAGTTACTTTTGACACCAGAGCAAAGTGCTGGCTAAGGATAGAATTAAAGAGGGTTTGTGTTTTTAATCATCTCCCCTCTTGTCCTTAGTATCGATCCAGGATAGTCTGGTGGGTCTGATTCAATCTGCCTGGGATTGGTGGGGTGTTTTTGTGACACAGAGGAGCAGAATATCATTAGGTGTAGATCCAGCCCACTGTGGATCAATAATCTGCTTATTCAATGGAGTAATTACAAACAGAACTGATTGATTACAGACCATAGATCCAATCAGTCCCATTAAAATAGAGCCAGAGTAGTCGATTGTTTTTTTCAGGAGAGGTAGCATCAAAAACTCCCTGTAACTCAAATTTGTTTGATTGTAGGAGTTGCTAAAGTGTCCACTGCATTTTTTTGATGACTAGATGATGTGTAAGTGTTACTGTAATATAACATACAGAGAGCCTGTCAGATATACTGTATTGGGAAATATAAACTCAGTCCAGAGATTTTAGGTCAGCTGATGTATAGCAAGAAATTGTAAGAGAGATACCAATGATATGTTTGAGGTTTGTTTGCACATAATACTGTCATCTGACAGTTTTTCTGTAATCAGCAATGATGTATTAAGCATCACCGTCAGTCAAGCTGTTCCAGCAATACTGAGAAATCCATGTGATTCAAATCACAGGATTACAAAGAGTACTGAAGTGGTCACAGACCATCTAGTTTCACTAAGGTGAAGTGTAGGAGGCGGTGTGTGCAAATGTACGGCGTCTTTAGGGAAGTCACTAGGGTCTGGTTACTGGACATCGGGCTCATTCATACTACACAAATCCTCTCTGCTTCCTGTCATTCTTTCTTCCTCTCTGCCCTTCCTTTACAGATAGGCACTACAGTAAATGTAGATGTGGATTATACCCAGTTTTTCTTTCTTAACCTTTGTATACAGCTGAAATTCATGTTTTCGTGAAATTACACAACTGCTCTCGTCTTTGTGTCAGATCCCCTTTCAGTAAATCCTTCCCCAGAGCCGGGCCGCTGACGTGGGGAGAACACCGAGTCAGCTGTCCAAGGCTCTGGCTGAAGAGGGGCCTTAACCCTCCTGTTATGTTGACCTGAACAGTATCTTTGTAATATAAACAAGTAATTTATCAAAAATACATAGTTGTGAAACTTCATATAATATTTGCGCATCACATAAATCCTTGTTATTTTTATCTTCCTAATTTTCCTTGTCATAGTTAGTCAAAACAATTGTACTTTCCCCCATAATGCAAAAAAAAAAAAAAAAATTTGGTCTGTCATGCTGCTGTAACAGGTGTTCACCCATTTGAAAAGAAACCTTGTCCCAGACACGAGCAAGACACGTGGTGGGCCTGCCCAGAGAATAAGGAGACCGCAAAAAAACTAGAAACCAGTCATATGTTTACTATGTTCTTACCGTGAGGACAGGCTGGGTTTGCCACTCTTGCTGCAGCTGGTGTAGATGCCCGGCCCATCGTCAAAGAAACTGCCCAGGGCCAACTTCTGCCTGATGGACTCCCTCTCATTCTTTTGGGCCTGCAACACAGGAGATGAACAGGATAAAAGTACTTTTTATTGATCTTTTGATTTCAAAGAGATCAGGTGGGGATGAGGTGTCTTCCTCTAAGACACATTAGGGTGGATGCTTGTTGACACCTTAAACACTTGTAAATAGTTTGCTGATGTGCTACATCACCTTAACATCCTTTTCCCACATGACTTTCTGCATGCACAGAAACAGAAATGCTGTTTCCTGGGCACTTTCTGACAGTTCAAATCACGGGTAAAATAACAGCAGCAGCAACTTCCTCTTAGTTTGCAGTAAGAGATTTAGTGTCATCTTAACAAGCGCCTACGCAAAGTGTGGAGTCAGCTCAAGCACTGGAAAAAAAACCCCCTGAAATATCTAAGTAAGGATCTTTAGAAGTTGACCAGACCATTGCCAGTATCCACAAGTAGGTGGTGCTGTTGTCTCAGAAAACAATCAGCAGCTCCCCGACCTCCCCACACACAAAGTAGGTCTTCTTACACACAACTCACACAGAATGATGTGTACATATAACAAGCTTCCAGAGGCAGAACGGTACTAGCCATCTCATATGTGCCCAGAGTTGCTCCCATTTGGCCTTTTCCCAATCTGGAATTCCTAACTCAGTACAGCTTCAGCTATGGCAGCACTTCATGCACACACAAGGAGCTTGGCCAATAAAAGCGATTATCGTTATCATTATAGACACTCACACACACCAGGCCCCACAGGATGTCTCGTCCGCGCCAACTGCAGGTAAGCCACATGCTACTGTTGCACTCAAGCATTAGAGCCCAATTCAGGAAGGAATTTCCATGGTCTTTAAGACTGTCTGCTAAAAGTTTTTAGTCTGATACACACTCAGTCAGCTGTATGTACTGTATCAGAAATATTTCTTCAACTTCTTTAATAACTTGTCAACCATCCTGCACTCTTTCACATGATCTTGTGAGACTTTGGAGGGCTCTGACACACTGGTGAACCATTTTAGATTTAGAGGTTTAAAATAGATTAAAAATAGGAGTAGAATCAAGGTGACAAGAGGTGCCGGTGGCATTAGCCCGTAGTGTAGCCGCTATCACTTCCTTTTGGGATCTCTTTTTCATTTTTGCCTCCACTTTATCTATCTCTATTCCTCCTATTCCCTATTCCGATGCTTTCTTTGTCCACCTGACTCAGCAGCCTGTTGCTTGTCTTGTGCTCTCTTCTTCATTATCCTCACTTCCACTCATCTCCTTCCATCTTCTCTTCTCTCCCTCAGCCTCAGGCCTCTATGATTCTTCCATCAAACTCTCTCTACTTCCTTCTGTACTCCCCTCTCCAAATTGTTCATCGCACCTTCCTCTTGCTCCCACTCATTTTCTCAACTCCTTCACTCACTCTTTCTGTCTGTCTCTCCCCACAGTTACATGCAGACATTGGTAAGAGTACCTCCACCAAATACAAATTAACATAATCCACTCCACACAAGAGCCCATAAGATGCACTTGGCACAGTCAGCACACACACTGGCATGTAGAGGACCAGACCTGGCACTGCTCCTGTGTGTGTGTGTTTGAAAGATGGCCTGGGGAGTTGTACTGAAAACACTCTGGGATATCAATTCATTGCTTCACAAGTGAAACAGTAGCCTGCATGATACAGTGCATGCACATCACTCATACAGAGCTGACACATTGTCGGTCAGGTTACTCCACTGAAAGGCTGCTCCAAGCACACACAAAGACCAGAAACAGCAGATTCAGGGAGATTAGTGTTAGCCCTTTGCTCCCCTCACCGAGTAATGGCTGAGAAAATAAACACATAGGGGCTGGTGCAGGTAGAAAGATAGGAGACCCAATGAGCTGGTCTTTTTGTTTAATTCCACTTATACTGGTATTTATTGCTCCACTCAGAAGTAAGCCTGCTAAATCTAAAGCAGAGCCTTGGTTAAATGATACAGCACATGCTTTTAGACCATTATGTAGACATGTGCAAGTGGAGGAAAGATAAACTCCATGTTTCTTTGGCTATTCTGAGGGACTGCTTGTCAGAAAGTAGTGAAAACTTCTAAATCACAGTACCTTTCTAAGGTAGTTGCTAATAACCACAATAAGCCCCGGGTATTATTTCGCACCATTAACTCTGTCATTACTCCATGTACTATAACTCACCCCGAGGTGTCCACAGCAAACTGTGAGAATTTCCTTCACCATTTTGTAAATAAAATCACCACCTTTAAGCAATGTTCTAGTCTCCCTACTTCTGACCCATCTGTTATCCCAGTGTGCTCAGTTGTTTTTGACCAGTTTGAGTCTGTACCCCCTCTTGCAGAAGTGGTTCAGCATGTTAAAGTATCTCATTGTCCTCTCGATAGCAGCCCATCCAAGCTGTTTAAGACCGTCAGGCCTGGCTTTCTTGTTATTATTAAGCGTTGTCTTAATAGGGACTTTTCTAACCACTTTTAAACATGCTGTTGTCCAGCTTCTTCTTAAAAAATCCAGTCTTTACCCTTCAGTTTTGTCACATTTTAGACCTGTCATCAAATTGCCATTCTTTCAAAAGTTTTGGAGAAGATTGTTTTTATTCAACTACAAGCTTTAATGAATGATGATGGTATTGCTGAACAATTCCAGTCTGGTTTTAAATCATGAGAGTAGGATAATCACCTTTATTGGCCAAGTATGTTACACACAAGGAATTTGTTTCCGGTACAGAACCAAGGCAGCCATCTGCGCCGCCAACTCAACCGATGGCTCTAACCATTAGGGGCAACTTGAGGGTTCAGTGTCTTGCCCAAGGACACTGACATGTGGACTGCAGGCACCGAGATTCGAACCTTCAACCTTCCGGATAGGACACGACTACTCTACCCACTGCACTGTCGCCTCCCCATATTATAATAATAATAATAATTTATTTGTTTATATAGCGCTTTACAACACCGGAGGGAGCTCAAAGTGCTTCACAATAAAACAGAGCATGCCAAAAATACATAAACAAACAAAAGAAAAGTTAACATTGGACAAATTTAAAAACAATGATCTGTAAGAACTATAACACTCCTGTAGAATAAAACTGAGTCAAAATACAGCGAGAGTAAGACTACGAAATATAAATCCAGGAAGGCCTGTGGGCCCTGTATAGCATTGCTGCTAAATATTAGATGCCAAAAGCCAGTCTGAATAAATGTGCCTTTAATTTAGACTTAAAAACCATTAACTCCATTATAGATCGAACCTCAGGAGGTAGGGCATTCCAGAGCTTAGGGGCATACACGGCAAAAGAATGGTCTCCCCACTTTTTATACCTTGCCCGCAGGCACTTTTAAAGTTTATAATTTTATTTTTTAACTGATGATGCTGGACTTGGCACTCTTGGTGCTTTTAAATATTACTGCTGCCTTCAGTACAGTGGATCACTGAATCCTTGTATCTCAACTGGCTCAGCACGTGGAGATTCAAGGTACTGTTCTAAAATGGTCTCAGTCATATCTGACTAATAGGACCTTTGCAGTAAATACTGGTGAGTGTTCATCCTCTGCTCTCCTGTGGGGTCCCCCAGGGGTCTGTTCTTGGCCCAGCTCTTGTCTCCTGCTGGGGTCTGTCCTAGAGGAGCATGGGTTTTCTTTCCATTGCTTTGCAGATGACATTCAAATTTATGTATCCTCAAAATCTAAGCAAGATACTTCATTATAGTCACCGTTTGACTGTTTGAGGGACAAAACATAGCTGCTCTAAACTTTTTACATCTTAATGAAAATAAAATGGAGTGTGTATTGTTTTGTAAATCAGGTTCTGTAACTGACCTTGATCTTAATCTTGACCCCCTGTCCACACACCGGACACAAGCGCTGGAGTGATTGCACTTTTGCTGTAATGTCCCCAAAACTGGGGTTCAGTTTACCTATTAATATTAGATCTGCTACAAACCTGCTGGGCTTTAAGTCTCTGCTTAAAGCGCATTTATTTTTAATAACATTTGGATCATGGTGAAGTAGACATTGACTGTTATATTGTCTGTCATTTGTTTTTATTTTATTTTACTGTTGCTTATATAAAATCCTTTGGTGAGCAAGTTGTTGTTTTTAAAGTGTTTATAAGTACATTTTGATTTGATTTGAAAGGAAAGGCGACATTCATTAGGGCTCAGGGAATGTTTTGCATCAGAATACTGAGTAATAAAATAGTATCAGCATCACCATAAACTTTACAACACCATTTCAAAACAGTTTGCACAAAAACCACACACCGTCTCTGCTAGTGCGTTGATGTCAAACTGAACTGTGGTTAACCTCGCTCAAAACCCTCCAAGTATAAAAATGTCAATTCTCACAGCGGAGGAACTTTATCAGGTGACAATCAGGATTACATCTTCAGCCACTGATCTTAACGTGCTCATTAACAATGTGAACAGGCCACCAGTTTCACCAGCCCGATCAACAATAAAAAGGTTTTTCAACTGCCATGACAAAAGCAGTTAAAACTGGGCCGTAAACAGTAGGAGGCAGCTTTTTCTTGCATTTTGCGTTTTATATCCAGTGTTCAGAGTCGAGAGTTGGATAAATATATGAGCCAGAATGAAGAACACATGCTGTTGCAATGATTTAAAATAAAAAACATTTCACACTGCCACTGGTGAAGTTAATGTGCTGATTATTTTCTCATTGAAGTGACTGGTTATTCAGTCTAAAAATGTCATAAACCATTTTATGTTTCCAAGATTTTTTTTTTTAAATATCTTGTTTCATCTGACAATGATTAGGCAGTTTGGCTTGAAAGATGAATAAATCTATTAACAAAATAGCTACAGTCACTTAAGATCCTGCCGATTGACCAATGAATTAATTAAATAAATGTTTCAGCTGTCAATTATACCTCTAATAACGGGAGCCGACTGCAGCCATACTTACATTCTCATAAAATGGGATAAACTCAAAGCATCACTATGGTCTGCAGCTGCTTTAGCATGCAGGACGTCATCTCTGCATCTCACACCTGCCTGACAACACAATTTCCAGTCTTTGTAC